ATTAAAATTTTAAAGATCTTTTATTTAGTTAACATTTAACTTCTTGCAATTACGAACTTTTCTTCCCAGTTTTTGTCTTTTGGTACTAAATGTAGTCAGAATATGGCAGTATACAAAATACCTCTTCACATACTTTTTTTTTTAAAAGATTTTATTTATTTATTTATTTGACAGACAGAGATCACAAGTAGGCAGAGAGGCAGGCAGAGAGAGAAGAGGAAGCAGGCGCTCTGCTGAGCAGAGAGCCTGATGCCGACTTGATCCCAGGACCCTGGGATCATGACCTGAGCCGAAGGCAGAGGCTTTAACCCACTGAGCCACCCAGGCCCCCCCGCCCTTTTTAAACAACCTTCATTTTTTTTTTCCAAACACCGCTTGCTGAACAACACTTTATAGTATCTCCATATATTGTCATTTTGATGTATTTAGAAAACATTTGTTGAGGTCTCTAGCTTCTCAAAAGCAAAGGTTACAGTTATTAATCTTTTATCATTTTAAGATAGACTGAAGTGCTACAGTAAAGGAGAGCTGCCAATGAAAGGAAACCAAACTGTAGTTTACACATGGGAAAGTTGGATTTCCAGCCAGATATTTCTTATGGTTGTCTTACCATTAAAAGTGATTGATAAACATCAAGTCAGGACTAGCTACAGACACATTTTAAGACAGCCAGCCCTCTTGTTATCCTTTTATCCTTCATGCTAAAAAATGGTGGCTCTATATGCAACTTTTCATCCCCCTGGTCACTGTATTAAAGACATATTTTAGTATTCATATGCTCTTGCCCATGTATTTTCCAGAAGGCTCAAAAATAGAACAAGCTAGGAAGATAACTTTTGAGGTGATGTGTGGACAGGATACAGAGCCTGGTTCATTATTGTATATATGTAGTTCCCACCCCACTTATCTCTGCCCCGCCCCCCCCCGTTTTGGCTATTTATGATAATCCTGAAAGAATGTAAAATAGAACCATTGGATAGCATGAATAAGGAAAAGTTTCCAAGATGGCGTTAATTTGGTGAACATGTAGTTTTGTTATGCCCCAATAATGGGTCCGTGATTAAAGGAGCGAGACTGATACAAAGTGAAGGTCATGTAAAGCTTTATTTCGCGCCAAGCATCAAGAATCTAACCGAACGTTCGGGGACGCACCTCTTACAAGAGAGGGCAACCCTTCTCTGTTTCACAGTCTAGCTTTTAAGGGCAAAGGCCATGCGGTTGGGCCTGGCCACGCACAGGTGGCCAATGAGATTGTAACACACACAGGAAACTCCACAGTGATGCTAGGTGACTAATTGAGTTACACTTTACCCTAGTAGACATTTGAACCAGCCTATTACACCTTGATTGGGATTGGCGCCCAAAAGGCTCCCAAAGGGCAGGGCCCATACTCCTTGGTAACCAGGGAACAGTATGCAGCCCCCCACTGATCTGGTGTCTCCACCTGGCCTGACCCACCTTTGTATCTGGGCTTTGTTACCTTGTCTCCAAGTAAATCCCCTGGGGGAAGGGGAGCAGGGACAGTTTCTAAATAGGTCCTTACAGTTTGATTTTAACTTTTTTTTTTTTAAAGATTTTATTTATTTATTTGTCAGAGAGAGAGAGGACAAGCAGGCAAAGTGGCAGGTAGAAGCAGAGAGAGAAGCAGGCTCCCCCCCTGAGCAAGGAGCCCGATGCGGGACTCTATACCAGGACCCTGGGATCATGACCTGTGCTGAAGGCAGCGGCTTAACCGACTGAGCCACCCAGGTGTCCCTGATTTTAACTTTTGAATGAATTTAGTTAAAAGGCAACCAGAGTATGTTAATTTATAGAGACACCAAAGATATCAAAATTAAAAAGTTGAATTTTGGAAGTTCTCTGTTATAGAGGTAGAGATTATTGACTGAGTTATTGGGTTTTACTGTTGATACATGGCAAATGTTCACTGTATATTATAATTTTGTAAAAATGAAACTGTGAAATGTGAGATAGGGCAGTTGAAATAATTTAGGGTGTGTTTTACAAGTTCCAAAGCTTTACTTCTGAGATCATATGTAAAAGTATCTGTAGTTACTCTTTTTTGTTGGTTTGCTTTTAAATATTTTGTTTATTTATCTGAGAGAGAGCATGAGCGGGAGAGCAGAGGGAGAGGAAGAAGCAGACTTCTTGGTGAGCAGGGAGACCATAGCAGGGCTTGATCCCAGAACCCAGGATCACAACCTGAGCTGAAGGTAGATGCTTAACTGACTGAGCCACCCAGGTGCCCCTCTGTAATTACTCTTTTTATTACAGTTATTTGAATACATTTAAAAAAAATACTTATTTTAGAAATTTGCTTACGAGCACAGGGAGAGGCCGAGGCAGGGGAAGAGAGAGAACAAGCAGATTTTCCCCACCGAGCCCAATGGTGGGGAGGGAGGGCTCCATTCCAGGACCCTGAGATCATGACTTGAGCTGAAATCAGGAGTCAGCCACTTAACCAACTGAACCAGGCGCCCCTGAAAACATTTTGAAAGGTTTTAAAAATGAGTTGGTCGTTCTGGGGAGCACATTCATGTATTTGTTATGGTAGGGAGTATTTCCTATGAGGAACCAGAGGAGAGCAATTTTGTTATACAGGATCTTTTTCCTTAGTACAGTTCATCCACATTTGCAGCATTAAGGGTAGAGATGGAACAGTGGTTTTCTTTTTTTGACACCATCACTGTTAATTGTTTAGTTGCTAATGCTAAGTATATACCTATACTTTACTTTTATTTGCCTTAACTTGCTCATCTAACATTTTTGCTCTTTGAAGTATGATCAGAGATGACTGAGTTAGGAATTCTCCTGGGTACTTTGTTCCAGGAAACATGGAAGATGCTTGGTGACACTGAGACAGCGTACAGGTAGTCAGGAGAATGCTCATGTAGGGCCAACGTAGAAAACTGTGGCAAGTAAATACAAACCTTCTAGAAAATTTACTTTATGATTGTTTGACCTTACAACTCAGTTTCTGTGACGGAATTTTATTACCTAAACCTTGGTGCTATGGAAAAAAAACCTGTCTTATTAACTTGAGAAATGATTTTAGATATGTTTATGGCAGTTCTGGTAAAATAAAATTTATGAACTCACAGAAGTATTGTGCTAGTGTGATCACTCACTAAGACATGCAAACAGCAGTGAAGTAAATTTTACTTTGTATTTAGAGGCAAATGAGTGACTATTTATTGGACTGATAGCACCAAATTATAAAGCATATTAAATTAAAGGGGAAGAAGGAGGAAACCAGTATTTCCTGTGTGCTAGGTGTTAGTGCTAGATGCTTTTCAAATATTATTTTATAAGTCTGTGAGGATTTTGGCTGCATTTAGAACTTAGACTTGAAGACACTGAGGCACAGAGAAGAGGTTTATCAAAGCTCCTTAAAAGGCAGAACAAGAATTTACATGCTCTTCTTTTTTTTTTTTTTTTTTTCTTTCTTCCCACCACATCACAAAACTCAGATTTGTGTGTGTACAGATTTGGTCTGTGACAAAATTTATTTGGGGGATTATTTTTAACATGGAATTTCTTAAAGGACAAGAATAAATTAAAATATGAAAATCGAATAATGTTGAAGGCCTGTATTATTTCTCCAAACCAAGATTCTGGTGGATTTATAAAAATGTTTTAAAAATTTTAAATAATAACTCTTTCCAAGTATATCTAAGGATCAATTATAGTACCTTTTTGATGAGCCACTTTTTAAAGTACTGATGCTTTTGGTTGACCTACAGTTAGGTTGCCTACATGTAGTTATTATCACCGCCTAACAAACGAGCATTTAAAAGATTACTTATAAAGTAAGAAGTCTATAGCCCTTACCACTTAGGTTTGATTCTTGGCCCTACCCTTCCTAGCTGTTGGTTTTTTTTTTTTTTTAATTTTATTTATTTATTTGACAGACAGAGATCATAAGTAGGCAGAGAGAAAGGAAGGGAAGCAGGCTCCCTGCTGAGCAGAGAGCCCGATGCGGGACTCGATCCCAGGACCCTGGGATCATGACCTGCCTGAGCTGAAGGCAGCGGCTTAACCCACTGAGCCACCCAGGCGCCCCCTAGCTGTTTTGATGTCTGGCAAGTTACTGTAGGTGTCTGCACTTCCGTAGGTTGTTTCCACTCCCACCCCCATTTTAATCTGTCAAATGGGGATGACGTTCTCTGTTTCATAGATTTGTTGTGAGGATTAAATGAGTTAAATGATTGCAGATCCAGCATATTATCTTGCACTTCCTGAGCTTTCGATAAATTTGTTGTGTTGAAGGACATCTTCCAGGATTTTGTATACACACTGATTCATCTTGCTTTGTAAGTAACTCTTTTGGTACTTGAGAAGACCTCCTTTAGAGTATTTTACATTTTTAGAATGTTTATTATTATTGCATTTTATTAATTCAGGTTACATTTTCAATTATTCTAGATACTAGTGTAATAGAAATGGTATGGTGGTTTAATTTCTAGATGCTTTTCTTTTTTTTCAAGGTTTTATTATTTTATTTGACAGATCACAAGTAGGCGGAGAGGCAGGCAGAGGGGGTGGGGGGAAGCAGGCCCCCTGCTGAGCAGAGAGCCCCGTGCAGGGCTTCATCCCAGATCCCTGGGATCATGACCTGAACCAAAGGCAGAGGCTTTAATCCACTGAGCCACCCAGACACCCCAATGCTTTACTTTTCTTTGTAGTACACAGTGATTAATATATTGTAGTCAATATTTACTGTAAGATTGAATGAATTTGAATCTGTTTGTAGTCATGATTTTTTTCTTTATAAATTCTTAATTTGAACTTCCTTTTCTATTGTAAAGAAACTACCAAAGTCTAAATTTCTTAATGACTGCTTTAGTCTCTTCAAAGTTTTGTTCTTTTTAAATGTTATTTCACTTTGTTTTTAGCTAAAAGGTGATCCTTTGCCTGAAATAATCTTTAAAATTTTCCTTAAAATTTTTAAAAATAATAATCCGAATGACATTAATGTTTCTTTTTCTTTGTTCTCTTAGCTCCACAATGAAGAGGATAATTCAGAGTCATCTGCTGTAGAGCAACCATCAACTTCAAACGCAGTGCCACAGAGCGTTCAGACTGCTCCTTCAGCATCAGTACTTGAAACGGACTCTTCTCCTCCACCTTACAGTAGTATTACTGTGGAAGTACCTACAACTTCAGGTATTATTTTTAGTATGAGACAGCTAGTAATATTTTTAGTAACTCAGTTTTTTTTTTTAAACCAGTACAGTTTTATTTAATTATAGTGTCTCTTAACATCTTCTAGGTTTAAGGATTTTTTTTTTTTTAACAAAAAACGTTTTCCAGAGGATAGTTTGTAAAATATTAACTTAGATATTACTTGTCTCATATTGTTGTTTTCAAAAAAAATTAAAAGTGTAAACTTCCTTATGCTTACTAGAATCTGTTTCCAATGGAGTGGCATATTCCTTTTGGAAGAAATAAATAAATGTGTATATATATACATTTATGTGTATAGATGCACATTATCTATAGATATATAGATATATGCATAAGTGTATGTGTATATATATATATACATATGTATTTGTGTTTGTGTATACCTACCTACATAGTTACAAAATAAGGTGTGAGCGGACATGTGGTATGTGTGAACGGAGGTGAAGGGTGTACATAAGATGACCATATACACATGGTAATAATTCCTGGACACAAGGCAGTGTTTCCTGCTTCCTCCTATTCATTTTATCCTTTCTAGTCATTCTAAAGAACTACCCTTATTTATTTCTCTGGCCACAATTTATATTTTCCCAATAATGCTAAGTTAATCATCATACAATTTATTTTTTATTTTTTACTTATATTCCTGTTACATTAGTTTCAGGCATACAATATAGTGATTTAGATGTTCTATATTTTACTTAGTGCTCATCATAATAAATGTATTCTCTATCTCCTTCCTGTTTCACTCATCCCTCTACTCACATGCCCTCTGCTAACCATCTTATTTATTCTCTGTGGTTAATAGTCTGTTTTTTGATTTGTCTCTGTTTTGTTTCTTAAATTCCACATATGAGTGAAATTCTCTGGTATATTGTCTTTAACTTATTTAGGTTAGCATTGTACAGTCTAGCTCCATCCATGTTGCAAATGGCAAGATTTCATTCTTTTTTAAAACGCTGAGTAATAATTCCACTGTGAGTGTGTGTGTGTGTGTGTGTGTGTGTGTGTGTGTGTGTGTGTATCTATCTTCTTTATCCACTCATCTGTCTGTGGACACTAGGGCTGCCTCCATAATTTGACTATTGTAAATAATGTTACAGTCAATACAGGGGTGGATATATCCTTTTGAATTGATGTTTTCCTATTCTTTGGGTAAATATCCAGTCATGATTACTGGATTGGGTAGTCTCTCTCTCTCTTTTATTTTTTATTTTTATTTTTATTTATTTATTTTTTTAAAAGATTTTATTTATTTATTTGACAGAGAGAGAGAGAGATCACAAGTAGGCATAGAGGCAGGCAGAGAGAAGAGGAAGCAGGCTCACTGCTGAGCAGAGAGCCCGATGTGGGGCTCGATCCCAGGACCCTGAGATCATGAACCGAGCCGAAGGCAGAGGCTTAACCCACTGAGCCACCCAGGCGCCCCTCTCTCTCTTTTTTAAAAAGATTTTATTTATTTATTTGAAAGAGAAAGAGAGCATAAGTACAGGGGAAGCAGCAGAGGGAGAGGAGGAAGCAGGCTCCCCACTGACAAGGGAGCCCAATGTGGGGCTCAATCCCAGGAACCTGAGATCATGACCTGAGCCCAAGGCAGACGCTTAACTGACTGAGCCACCGGTGGCCCAGGGTAGTTCTATTTTTAATTTTTTTAATCTCCGTATTGCACTAGTTTTCATTCCCACCAGCAGTGCATGATGGTTCCTTTTTCTCCACATCCTCACCAACACTTGTTTCTTAAAGTTAATCATTATATAATTTAAAAATATTTAAAATATGGTTTTGTATACTATTATAAATGATCTCTAAATATTTTATATGTTCATTATGAAACATTTTTTAAACCTGTTATAAAAAAATGCTTTAGTGTTAAAAAACCCTTCACTAGAGTATTTCATCTTTCTTATTTCTTATTCTGTAATTAATATCATTATTTCTCTTAAAATCATCCCAGCTTTCTCTGGTTACTGTGGTTTTATCTAGATCATAAAGGTTGTGTAAAAAGACCAAACCGTTTACTTTTTTCATTTATAATATTATGCAGTTACTGAAAATCATCTTCTGTATGAAGGTATTCTCACTAATAAATTAGCAGATGCTTACTCCTTTTATTTGTATATAATGTTTATTTGATCACTATGCTTGTTTAGTGCCCAGTTTGACAGAGAGTTTTTATATTGATTTATAGCAGTTTTATTTATCTTAAAATTTAATAGCTGTATTGGTGCTTGCTAAAATTTATAATGGGCTAAATTTTCTTCATTATTCTTCAAGTTTCCAGAATACAGTTCAGTGAATTTTCTACCCTTAAACAAACAAACAAAAAAACCCAAACTATTGGTAGTCTTGAAGAAAGAAAATAGAAAATTAGTTGTTTTGCTGATGCCTATCTGTGTTTAAATGATGGAAGATGCTAAGATTGAAATTGTAATTTTTTTTTGTTGTGGCCACCATTGCCACTGCTGTGTAACAAACCAAATGAAGTGCAGTATCAACCATTTTTATTAGTTCTTACGGTTTTTGTGGTGGGCTAGGCTCAGTTATGGAATTTTCTCCCAGGATCTCATGTGATTATCATCTTTTGGTGACCTGGAGCTCGAGTCACCTTGATGGCTTCCTTATTAACATATTTGGCCGCTGATGCAGGCTTTAGCTAGGGCATCAGATGCGACTGTTGGCTAGAACACCTCTGTGTGGCCTCTTATTGTGGCCTGCACTTCCTCACTGAATGGAGGCTGGGTTCCAAGAATAAGCATTTTGAAATCCAGATAGAAGCTGTATCACCTGTTATGGCATTGCTTCAAAAGTCATATAGTATCACATCTGCCAGGTTTGGTTTGTTAGAAGTGAGTCACTAAGTTTTATCTTTATTCAAGACAGTTGAGGAATTAGTCTCGACCTCTTGGTGGGAAGAGTTTCAAAGAATAGAGTAAGTTTCAGCACCGTCACAGCTGCCTACTGTCTTTCCCCCCATCACCAGACCTTTCCCTTTGTCATTCTTCTTCATTTCCATAAATGGCTCCAGGAGGCCAGAAACCTTGGAGTCATCTTTTTGGGACTGTATCCAAAATTGTATGTTTTTTTCTCCTGTAATTTTTTATGTAATTAAATATGTTACTAATTTCTGTAAGCCAGTCAACTTCTGTATTCCTAGAATAAATTGTCACTGTGCTCTAATGTCTTCTGTATTTAGATTTGTTAGTATTTTTTAGAAGTTTTGCGGTTTTATTATGGGATCTTTATGTACTGTCCTTATCATTTTAGTATTAATATTGTGGAAGCAACATAGCATGAATTGAGAAGCTTCTCATTTTTCTTTGCTCTAGAATAGTTTTGAAAATGAAGCATGCCGTTTTTAAAGGTTAGATAATTTTCAGTTGTAAGACAAGTGGAGCCTGCTACCTACCTGGGTGTTCAGTTATTCTTATAATCTGTGTTATTCCTGGTCCCAGAATTTTATTTTTACATCTATACTAAAATGACTGTAGTTGAGCACGAGAAAGTCATTCTAGAAGTTTGCATGTCTTTAATGAAAACCATTGATACTATTTTTCAGCTTCTCTTAGTGTTGTATTTGAAGCATCGGCAGGACCAATTTTCAGTGATTATGTTTTTCAGTAGGTCACTTTCTGGCTGGTTTTATAGATCTCAGCAGCATCAGTAATAATAGTTGACATTTGTATAAGGCTTTACAGTTTACAGAGTCCTCTTGAATACTCTTAAATTCTGTCATAATAGCAAGTAATAGCCTTGCTGGCTCAGTTTTATGGATGAGAAAGTAGAGCTTCATAAAGTGCTTAAGTGATTTGCTTGGGGTCATACAACTTAAGGAGCTGGGACTGGAGCTCCCCAGATGCTAAGTTTTCTGCTTGAGAACCGCTGCCTTAAAGGGTAGGCAGAAAATAAGTAGAATTAAGCAGTGGAAACTAAAGCAGTAGTAAAACAGTGCTCCTTCCCCAGTTTCATCTGTTACTGGATAGGATATTTTTGTCTGTTGAGGGAGTTAAAGCTTTTTGAAAACTCACATATCTGTTGTTAATGTAAAAGATCTCTCTCTTCTTGGATAATGTATGTCATTGTTCCAGTTTTTAAATTTCTAATTTTAATGTTAGTGCCTTAAAATTCATAACAATTGCTTTCACTTAAATTTTTCTTCTATTTTAGTCTTCAGACCTAAAGAAATCTGTTTACTTGACTGTGTGTTATGTTTTTACATCTGAATAACCAGTCATTTCTAAGAATTTATGATTCTTTTTTTTAATTTTTTTTATTTTTTTAGATTTTTTTATTTTATTTTATTTTATTTGACAGATAGAGATCACAAGTAGGCAGAGAGGCAGGCAGAGGGAGAGAGAGAGGAGGAAGCAGGCTCCCTGCCGAGCAGAGAGCCCGATGCGGGGCTCGATCCCAGGACCCTGGGATCATGACCTGAGCCGAAGGCAGAGGCTTTAATCCACTGAGCCACCCAGGCGCCCCAAGAATTTATGATTCTTATGCCTTTTTGGTGGATAACGTTCAGTATTACACTGCTACTAGCATTGGAATAAAGGTTGCCCAGCTTCAGATCCTTCGCTCTTATTGATAGCATTTAAAAATTTTATTTTAAAGTCAATATCCATTACAATACAATAGGAAAAGTATTGCTAGAATGAAGTGTGTTTTTGTGTTGGAAATGCAAGAAATTCTGATGGAGAAAATGTACAAATACTATAGTTACAATAAGGAAATCACAGAAGTGATGTCAGACATTATAGTATGGACTACTATGAGAACTTACCTGTTTTTCATGACAGTGATTCTAGCATAAGTCTAATCAGTTTATTGATCTGTATGTATCATTTTACTTGTACCATTCAATTTGGTGATAAGTGATGCAGGTTTTTTGTTTTTTTTTTTTTTTTTTAATTAGCATTCTGCACTTACTCTACTGTGTTATATTTCTGGAGATCATACTTCAAAAATAGTTTAAAAGTTGGGGAGGGGGAGAAATTCTTCATAAAAAACTAGATAGATATGGGGAAGAATGGGAAGGGAGGACAAGAGTAAAAAAGAGCTAAAAATACTCAGTTTTTGTTTGTTTGTTTTGTTTTGTTTTTAGCGAAGAGAAATACTGAATTTGCTGAAGAGATTCAGGCAGTTTCTAAAACTGACATGTAGAAAAATGAACCTCACGTGTTATCAGAACAGATAATGGGATTCAGGAAATCCCAGGGTTCTGCTACTTAATGGTTGTGCAGTACTGGGCAGATTACTTCTTTGGACCTCAGAGTTGCTAAGATTAATGTATATAGCAGTAGTATATTACATGGTTAGTACTATGTAAATGTTGTTATTCCTGATATTTTTGCTTTTTGGGCTATGAGATTATGAGCAAGTAAATTAAATTCTTTGAGCATAGCAGTGGGTACAGAGGATGCCCATATGTGGTGAGTTTCTCATTTCCCTTGTACGTAGATTTTTAGAATTTCATTCTTGATATTTTTGTTTTGTATATCAGCCTGTAGGTGATAGTTATCAGTCTTTTCCCTTTGTAGTAAATATGGGGCTAAACTACCATGTACAGTTGTAGTAGTCATTTATGTTACATAGTTTATAAAATAGGACTACAAAAAGCAGTAATAGTCTTTAGTGGCCTGTTGCAAGTTATTAAATTACATTTTTGGCTGTAAAAAATTTATGAAATAGTTTAATGGTTGTCCTTTTTTTAATCCCTTTCTTCAGATACAGAAGTTTACAGTGAGTTTTATCCCGTGCCACCTCCCTACAGTGTCGCTACCTCCCTTCCTACATACGATGAAGCTGAGAAGGCCAAAGCCGCTGCCATGGCGGCCGCAGCAGCAGAGACAGCCCAGAGAGTAAGGCACCCGATGGCTTCCTTTTGAGAGTACCGTTTTTAGTGATTTTCAGTACCTTTAGTAATGTTAAAAATAGTTCTCTGAGTTTGAGAGTGTGCATGTATTGTTTTTAGTATCTTCTCTATTCCTATTTATGTGTGTCGTCATTTTTTGGTGAAATTGGCACAGTCCTATCCATTCCTTTACCTTATTTCTGTTTCTGTTTCTATTTATTGCTATTTCTACCGATCTTTCTTTGTAGCCCATCTTAATTCGTGGGACTCCTCATCCTTATCTGTACCAGAACATTTCCCAAGTCTTGATTTCTCTCCTTTCATGTGCTTTCACCCTTCCATCCTCTGACTTCCTCACTCTAGATGCTCCACCCCATCGATGTCTTCTCTGTTGAAGTCCTTATCTCCCTCCTCATATAGTTTAGATTCTGTGATCCCTAATTAAAATCATAAATTATCTTTTTTCCCTACTCATTTGTATGTATTAGAGCCAGTCTGCTCTAACTCCACGAATGAGCTCAGTGTAGGTTAAAAATCACAGAGAATAAGTTACAAGTTTTCAAATTACGTTTGTCAGCTCACTTTGTGTGTGTGTGTGTCCTTTTACACATCCCACCCTAGAATTTTAGAACGATGGTCAAGGATTCCACCTGTCCTATCTTCTCTTACTGTCTTTGTAGTAGAGTCAGTGATAAATATGTGTATATTCTTGTTCTGGTAAAAGGAGTGACTGTCTCAGCAGTGGAGAATCAATGAGATGCATCCATGCTATTCTATGGTCAGAGAATAGATGGAAGTTATTTACATTTTATTTATTTATTTTAAATGATTTTATTTATTTACTTGGGGAGAAGAGACCACAGAGGAAGAGAGGGAGAAGCAGACTCCCTGCTGAGCAGAGAGCCCGAGGAGGGGCTTCATCCCAGGACCCTGAGATTATGACCTGAGCTGAAGGCAGATGCTTAACCGACTGAGCCACCCAGGCCCCCATTATTTACATTTTAGTGTGGCTGCAGGCAGGGCTAGAGTTTGTTGCCTTTTTTTCTTGCTTCAGACTTTTTACAGATATCATTTCAGATTCCTAGGTTCATCCCATGTTGTTTAAGAAAAGACACCCAAAAAAAATCACTTTACACAAAAAGCTAGAATCAGGTGAGGGACAAAAGGAGAGAAAGGTGATTCTATGTAAAGCATTCTTCTTCTGCCATTAGGCCAGAGCCCAGCGAGCAGATGATCTGATAGGTGAGCGTTTTTTCCTGGATGGGTTTTTTTCATCAGTACATACCTTTCCATGACTGTTCCCACTCCCATATTCCAACACACAGTTAAATGTCAACATAAATAGCTTTGGGCACATAAGTAAGGACAGTAAGCCTCAAATTTATTATTTATGCCATTTCCCTTGGAGGGTGAAAGTAAGTCTTTGTTAAGACAGTGGCATAAGATATAGCTCAGTCAATAAAGATTTTTGATACTTGGAGGAGAGAATCAGGGAGAAGGAGAATAGATCTGTAGTGTGGAGTTTCTGTCAAAATCAGTTTTAGGTTGCTTCGCACATACATGGTTGTACATGCATTATTTGCATGCATGCACTCTCCATGAATGAGAAGAGCATAACTCCTTTTCTCAGGGAGTGTCTCCCTAGAGAACTTGGAAATGGCAAATGTCCTTAAAAGGATGCTACTGACCTTGGGACCTCTACTGGCCTAACTTCCACACTATAGAACTCTGAAGAGAAAGAAGCAAGCATTGTCTTGCTTTCTGTTTTGGGAAAAGCACGAGGCTGATTTTACCTTTTGGAGAGAAAACTCTGAAATATTTCTACTCCAACCTTTCATTGTCATCATTTCCAGTGTCTTGTTTTTAGAAAGTAATATGATTCCAGTCTGAACTGGAACATGTCCAGAAGAAAAATTTTCTGTTTTCAACTGTTTCTGATATCATCGTAATGCCAGCTTGTGAAGACTGTGGAAAATTTCATGGAAAGCAAAATATAATTGAACAGAAGAGACTTATTTATAAAGACTCTTAAATTCATCAGTTTCTAATGCAGTGCTCCAGCACCCTCTTTTTGGCAAAAGATGATTGAGTATGGGTTTCTATACCTGATTCAGATAGAAAACTGGTCAGATTAGCATTTGAGTATGTATTCAGTTGTAAATGAATCTCACTTTTCTTAAATCCATGCTCATTGGGAGAATACAGGTAGTAGCCAGGAGACTTGGGAACAACACTGTTTTCTACTATTTCCTGTTTCTGATGTGCAGGATTGCATGCAAATTATGGGATGATTAAATAGATTTATAGATACGAACTCTTTTTTAAGAAGATTTATTTATTAGAGCATGTGCACTAGTGCGAACTTGCACTAGAGTGGGAGGAGGGGCAGAGGGAGATACTCTTCAAGCAGACTCCTCCCTGAGATCAGGACTTTGAGATCATGACCTGAGCAAGAGGCGGATGCTTAACCGACTGAGCCACCCAGGCACCCCAAACCCAGTATTTTCTAATGGTCACTACACATGCCCACATCTCTCTTCTGGGGAACGACACTCTTCCAAAGCTGTCTGCAATGTAAATAGCCTTGAAAAGATAGTACGAAAGAAGGGTGGCCAGTGCCTCTACCTCAAGGATGTATGGAAATATTAAGGACTCGTGGAGAATTATCTCCTGACTAGAGCCCACTATTGATGGGCATTTAGATTGTGTCTAATCTTTGCTCTTAATATTATTGCTGCAGGGCACCTGGATGGCTTACTCTGTTAAGAAAGAGTCTTACTCTTGATTCCGGCTCAGATCGTGATCTCAGTAATGTGATATCAAGCTCTGTGTCGGGCTCTGTACTAGGCATGGAGCCTGCTTAGGATTCTCTTCCTCTCTCTAAAAAAAAGCGAGCAAATCCAAAAAACATTGCTGCCATGAATTACCTTTAATACATCATTTCTTGTAAGTGGGAATATATTGTATATCTGTACAGTATATTTCAAGAGCTGGAATCGTTGGGTGTGTACATATTTTTCTTTTTTTTGAGTTTTTATTTAAATTCTAGTTAACATATACTGCAATATTAGTTTCAGGTATACTTCTTAGTAATTCAACATTTATATACAAAACCTGGTGCTCTTCACAAGCGCACTCCTTATTCCCCATCATTTTTTTAACCCCCTTCCCCTCTGGTAACCATCAGTTTGTGTTCTGTAGTTGAGTCTGTTTCTTGGTTTGCCTCCCTCCACCCCCCGTCTTTTTAACCCCTATTGATCATCTGTTTTGTTTCTTAAATTCCGCGTATGAGTGAAATCATGTGGTATTTGTCTTTCTTTGACTTATTTTGCTTAGCATAATACCCTCTAGCTCCATCCATGTCATTGCAAATGGCAAGATTTCATTTTTTTTTTTTAAATGGCTAAGTAATATTTTACCATATATATACACCACATCTTTATCCATTCATCATTTGAGGAACACTCAGGCTGTTTCCATAACTTGGCTATTGTAGATAATGCTGGTGTAAACATTGAGGTGCATGTATCACTTTTGAATTAGTATTGTTGTCTTCTTTGGGTAAATACCTAGTAGAGCAGTTGCTGGGTTGTAGGATAGTTTTATTTTTAACTTTTTGAGGAACCTTCCTCCATACTGTTTTCCAGAGTGGCTGCAATAGTTCCCACGAACATTGCAGGAGGGTTCTTTGCCAGTACCCATTGCATCTTGTGTTGTTGATTTTAGCCATTCTGACAGGTGTGAGGTGATATTTAGTGTAGTTTTCAGGAAATCTCGATGATGAGTGATGTTGGGCTTCTTTTCATGTGTCTGTTGGCCATCGAATATCCTCTTTGAAAAATGTCTTCATGTCCTCTGTTCATTTTTTAATTGCATCATTCATTCTTGGGGTGTTGAGTTTTTAAGTTCTTGGTATGTTTTGGATACTAACCCTTTATCAGATATATCATTTGCAAATATCTCTTACCATTCCGTAGGTTGCCTTTTAGTTTTTTCGATTGTTTGCTTCACTGTACAGAAGCTTTTCATTTTGATGAAATCCCAGTAACTTATTTCTGCTTTTGTTCCTCTTGCCTCAGGAGACACATGTAGTAAGAAGTTGCTACAGTTGATGTTAAGGAGGTTACTTCCAATGTTCTCCTCTAGGATTTTAATGGTTTCCTATCTCATATTTAGGTCTTTAATCTGTTTTGAATTTTATTTTGTGATGGCTGTAAGAAGGTGATCCAGTTTCATTCTTTTGCATGTTGCTGTCCCGTTTTCCCAACACCATTTGTTAAAGAGACTGTCTTTTTCCCACTGGATATTCTTTCCTATGTTGTTGAAGATTAATTGACCATATAGTTGTGGGTTGTACATTTTTATTTTTGATAAATATTGCCAAATTGCCAGCCATAGAGATCATACCAGTTTAGATTCCACCACTGATTATAAAAATTCCTCTTTCCCGTTCGATGCAAATATGTCAGTCACATCTTTCTTGATAAAATTTTCATTAATCTAACGTTCAGTTTTTATCTTTTTTTGTTTTCTTTTAAAGTTATTCTTTTCAAGTGAGCTCATGAAAAATTATTTGCTAATGTTTTTGAATACATACTTTGTGCCAGACATTGTACTAATTGTATCATTTTGTCTGTACAAGTTGAGAATATCTGATTTTATTTCAGTTCTAATCTTTATACTTAATAAAGTTATAATTAGTTTTTTAGTGAGCTCTTCTAATGTTATGTGTTTTACAGATTCAGGAGGAAGAGTGTCAACCAAGAGATGACTTTAGTGATGCAGACCAGCTCAGAGTGGGTAACGATGGGATTTTCATGCTGGCATTTTTCAGTAAGTGATTTTTCATTTCCAGATTGTTTTTTTGCATATACTAGCTGTGTTTGTATTTAAAGTAACCTAGTGAAGAAAGACAAATACTGTTCTTGTGTGTTTACTTTGTTTAAAATATAAATTGTTCCTGAGACTGAACTGTGTGGTCATACGATGCAATAAAAATCCTAGTATTTAGTATACTTATAGCTGTGTATTGTGGTCATAATGCTAGATGCTGACTCTGTGGAATTATATAAGTATGTTTCAGCTAAGTATGTTTTTGCATGAGAAATATTTCATGTCCATGCAGTGATGTAGGAGCATGCAGAATGAAACTATAAATTTTGCTTTTGGAGCAAAGGACTTCCATTTGAGTGTCTTTAAGCAGGGAGGAGGGTTGGAAAAGGAAATGTTCTGGGCAACTGAACAGAGAAATGCAAACATACTTTGTCTGGGGGGGTAGTGGTAAGGAATTAGAAGATCAGAAACCTAAGTATGATTTTTTTAACATGTTGCAGAATTCTTAAATACCTGAATTTGTAAAATGGACTTTATACTTTGAGGGAAGACTGCATTACAGTCTTTTATTTCAGTTCCTAACATAGGGATTGGCAGATAGTATACTTAGTATATAATATTATGACACTTGAATTGTTTAATTGCTAAAATTAAGTTTTTGAAATCCAGTATTTATAGAAGAAAATATATTACACTAGATATGATAAATTTCTGTCCTCAATCTGGTTAAATGATCAAGCACTCATAGAATGCTGATTTAACTCATTTTAGTATAAAATTTATTTTGATAATAAAAGTGAGAAATTACTTATTTAAAGTACTTTAAAAATAGAAAATAAGGAAAATATGTATTTTGAGTTACTTTTACGTCTGGGTAATCATTAACTCTCCATTTTGAAAGACTTTCTTGCTTCTTTTCCTTCTTTCATTTCATCTGCTGAAGTATAGAAGTAGATAACCACTCAGAAGTGGGTCAGTGAGTGGGAAAGCAGTTACATTTTTCTCTTCAAATTTAATGTTATGTGTGGCCACCAGCTAATGTATATGCAGTATTTAAATCTTGTGTCTTTAGTTAAAATTTGTAGTTAGATATGATGTACCTGTAGGTATCATGGAAGGGAAAATGAATACTTTGATTACAAATAACTATTGTTTTGTACTATTAGTCTAGTAAATGTTAATTTTGTTCTTAGTTTTAGTTGAACAGGTAAACCTTTATTATTAGTAACAGTCTTCCCACATATTTTGTTTATAAAAAGATTAGCATAAATACTAATTCTTTCAATGGTTATGTCTTAAAAATCTTAATTGGAAAAGGAAATTTAAATTTATTGTACTATATGTAGCATAAATACCTGTTTCTTAGGTATAAAAATGTGATTTGATATCATCTGTATGACTCAGAGCTTAGTGATTATTTCTCTTATTTCTATATTTCACTTCTACTATCTTCTTTTTAACCTTTTTTTTTTTCTTTAGATTTGAAAACATTTTGATGATAAAAACAGTGTTGCAAATGTTTGGTAACCTGCACACTTAGTTGCCTTTAGTTTTGACCTCTGGTGGTATATTAATGTAAATACATATTTATATTTCATATATTTAAATTACCTGCCTTTTCTACGTTTTTACTAAGTGATGTCTTTATAACTTTTTTATGCTCTATATTCTACAAATACTGCACCAATATTATAAGAGTAAAATTATAAATTATTTTCAGTCTTCATTTCTTCATATATTTTTTCTGGTAGGTTGTAGCCCAGTGTTTGAGCTTACTTGCTTTGATAAGCATAGATTTATTTGTAGTCACTACCATCTAGTGGCTGTTCTTCATATTGCAGCTTGCTATGTTTTTCATGCTGCTTCAGCTATCTAATAGCTATTATTTAGATTCTGTTTTCTATTTCTGTGGTTCAGAAATATATTTTATTTTTAAAATTTTATTAAGTTTTTAAATTTAATTTCAGTACAGTTAATATATGGTGCTGTATTAGTTTCAGGTGTACAATGTAGTGTAGCAACTCAGTAGTTTTGTATATTGCTCAGTGCTCAGCATGATAAGTGTTCTCTTAATCCCCTTCACCTATTTCACCAATTCCCCCCACCCAACTCCCCTCTGGTAACCATCAGTTTGTTCTCTTATGGTCTGTTTCTTGGCTTATCCCCTCCCCCCTCCTTTTTTTTTGACTTTGCTTATTTGTTTTGTTTCTTAAATTCCACATACAGGTGAAATTATATGGTATATTTGTCTTTCTCTGACTTATTTCACCTAGCTCCATCCATGTTGTTGCAGACGGCAAGATTTTATTCTTTTTTGTGGTTGAATAATACACTTTGTGGTGTGTGTGTGTGTGTGTGTATGGGTGTTTACACACTTCTTCATTCATCTATGAATGAACACCAGGGGCTGTTTCCATAATTAGGCTATTGTAAATAAGGAGTAAACATAGGGGTGCATATATTCTTTTGAACTAGTGTTTTCTTATTCTTGGGGTAAATACCCAGTAGTGTGATTATTTCATCATAGGGTAGTTCCATTTTTCACTTTCTGAGGAACCTCCATACTGTTTTCCACAGTGATTCTACCAGTTTGCATTCCCACTGACATGTGTGAGGGTTACTTTTTCTCCACATCCTCACCAATACTTCTTGTCAGAAACATTTTCTTTAACAGGGTTTATAACTTAAACGGTTCAAGTGATATAAGTTCAAGTTGTGTGAATAAAACTGCAGTGAATATCAATAAAAATATTTCAGATCAGAACTTTTTGATGGTTTAATTCTTCCCTTCTCTCTTACAGCATCCACATTTCATTCTCTTACCACATGTAATCTTAAAAAGTTTACACATAAATTTGGTAAAATAATAGCATGTTGATGTTCAGAAAATGTAAAGAAAAAAACATACTGTATCTCTTGATAATTTTTGCTTCTCATAATTCCTTAAAGTGTCACAGCAGAATGCCTTATCTATGCATAATCTGCTTGTATCTGATCTTATTTTTAAAAGTTTTTAAGACAATGGAATGGGAGTCAATTATTTGTTAGTTAAAAGCTAGAAATTAAGATTTAGTCCATTGGATAATTGATAGTCTGTGGAAATGACCTTGAACAATAATGCTTAAAAATGTAATGGACTCTGTTTAGAAAACTTTTCTTCTAAGGTTTAGCCTTTTGTACCATGTATGAATCTTCATATATGTGTGTTATGGTAAAAATTAGTTAGCTATTATATTATTTATATACTACATATAGTAAAAATTAATCGGCATTATTCCCTTTTTATTTTATTTATTTTTTTTTATTTTTATTTTTTTAAGATTTATTTATTTGACAGATAGAGATCGCAGGTAGGCAGAGAGGCAGGCAGAGAGAGAGGAGGAAGCAGGCTCCCTGCTGAATAGAGAGCCCGATGCGGGGCTCGATCCCAGGACCCTGAGATCATGACCTGAGCCGAAGGCAGAGGCTTTAACCCACTGAGCCACCCAGGCACCCCCCTTTTTATTTTTTTAAAGATGTCTCAATTTATTTGAGAGAGAGCATAAGTGGGGAAGGGGCTAGAGGGAGAGGGACGGAGAGAATCTTAAGCAGACTCCTTCCTGAGCGCAGAGCTCCACATGGGGCTAGATCCCACAACCCCTAAGATCAGAACCTGAGCTAAAATCACAAGACAAGACATCTGACTGAGCGTCCCAGGCACCCCCATTATCTCCTTTTTAGACTCGAGGAAAACACAGTTAAAGACATATTAAATTGTTGTAATTTTAAAAGGAATTAGAATATTGTTTTGAAATGTGAATTCGGAATCGTGAGAAATTGCCAAACTGTCTTACCAAAGTGATTGTACCACTCTGCATTCCCACCAGCGGTGAGTGAGTTTCTGTTGCTCTGATTCTCATTTAGCATGAGGTATTGCCAGTTTTTAAAATTTTAGCTGTTATAATGGATATGTGGTAATATCTCATTGTGGTTCAATTTGCATTTCCCCAAGGATTGATGATATTGAGCATCTGTATTCACTAATAAGCATTTTTGAGCACCTACTATGGACAAGTCATAAAAGATACAATTCTTAAAGAGGTTGTCTGGGCATTACACATACTGAAGAACAATACATTGATTACTTGTTCTGTCCAGGTAAAGCTATGTTTAGGTGATGTTGTATATGGTAAGTGAATCCAGAAAGGGAAAACTATAGGGCACCTGGGTGGCTCAGTCAGTTAAGCCTCAGCTTTTGGGTCAGCTCATGATCCCAAGGTCCTGGGGTGGAGCCCACATCAGGTTCCCTTCTCAGTGGGGAGTCTGCTTCTTTTCTCCCTCTGTCCTTCCTCCGGCTTGTGCACACACACACACACACACACACACACACACACATATTCTCTGTTTCTTTCAAATAAATAAATAAATGAAAATCTTAAAAAAATTGTAATTATACCTTAAGAAAGTCATATAATATTTGTATTTTTTTTTTTTTAAGATTTTGTTTATTTATTTGTCAGAGAGAGAGAGCGCAAGCACAGGCAGACAGAGTGGCAGGCAGAGGCAGAGGGAGAAGCAGGCTCCCTGCCGAGCAAGGAGCCCGATGCGGGACTCGATCCCAGGACGCTGGGATCATGACCTGAGCCGAAGGCAGCTGCTTAACCAACTGAGCCACCCAGGCGTCCCATATTTGTAAAGTATTAAAGTTACTTTGTTTATAAGGAAAAATTCGTTTTGGTCATCTCATTGCTTATAATTTAGCTGAAATGTCTTAAAACTAAAAAATGTTAGCTTGTCTTTCTTAATGACTAATTGTTTAAATGAGGGGAATTGCTTGAGGTTAAGAGAGAAATTTACCAGTATGCAGTTCGGAATTAAGTTTAGTGAAATTGATTCCTTGTCTAGGAACTTACTGTCTTTGAAACTTGGTGCATTTATATGTATTGAGAATTTTTCTGTGATTGAAGAAATCAGTGCTCGTTGTTAGTATTATATGTATATTCATTTATGATTTTCATTTGTTTATTTTCAAAACAAATATCAGATTTTTAAAAATGTAAAACTTTTTAAACTTTTCATCTTTAAATTAAAACAGGAGAAATTTGCAAAAATAATAGTTGCCATGTAACTTTCGTGTGGATTTCTCAAGTGTTAACATTTTATGTAATGTCAGTGCAATGACCAATATTAGGAAATTAACATTATGAAATAGTACTAACTAGTTTACAGACCTTATTTGGTTTTTTACTAGTTGTTCCATTGGTGTCCTTTTTATAGTCCAGGATTATATATTGTATTTCACTGCCATTTTGCTCTAGTCTGGCCTTAGTCTGCTCTTAATTGAAAAGTTTGTTAGTGTTACTTTGTTTCTTATGACTTTGATTCTTTTGGAGAATATGGGCCAGTTTTGTTTAATGTCTCTCAATTTGGATTTACCTAATATTTCCTCGTGATTATATTGAGTTTATGCATTTCTTCTTTCCTCCTCTCCCCTCCCCCTCCCTTTCCCTCCTCCCCCCCCTCCTCCTTCCACCCTTCTTCTCTCTCTCTCCCTCTTTTTTTTTGTTTTTTGTTTTTTGTTTTTTGTTTTTTGTTTTTTGTTTTTTAAGAATACCATAGAAATGATGTGCCCTTCTCAGTGCATCATATCAGGAGACAGTGATCTGGTTAGGTCTTGTTGATGGTGATGTCAGCTCTCCTCAGGTTAAGGTGGTGTCTGCCAGCTTCATTATAAAGTTTTCCCCCTTTGTAATTAATAAGTGTCTTGTGGCTTTTGTAAATTTAAAAGTAAAGTCTTATTAAAGAATAAACTGTAGTATTTAATACTGCCTTCTAGGTTATCCTGCTGCACTCTTTATGTAGACGGGTGTTACGATAAAAAGATCACTGGCTATGAGAGGTGAAAGACTTGGATGCTTCTGTCTTACCTATAGCTCTTGCTTTGTGAGTTATGTGGCACTTTACTGTTCTAAGTCTCCTGTTAGTGGAATTTAATTTTGACCTTGCTCTTCTTAAAAGACTAACGTGAGGATCAGTTAAGTTAAAATATGTGGAATGTCATAAATTACAGATTGCTGTTAGGTTAAGGTAGTAGTAATGTTCTCCTTCCCTGTCCTTACTTGAGCATTCACCTTTTAGAAAGAAGGTAAGCCTTCCTTCAAATCTCATTAACTTGTCTGACTCACTTTCTTATAAAGAAGTGCACTGGGAAGGTGAATGTGGAAAGTGTGACTGGAGCAACACTAAGCATTCTTTTCACCAACTTTTCTGAGTTAATCGCCCTGCTTCTTGCTACCCCAACTTTTTCTAAGGAATATAGGCTATATGAGCCTATATAAGTCTTTTGCTTCTGTGGATTCCATGTTGGGCCTTGCTGTGTGGGGAATAGATGCCTTAAACCTTTTAAGCTTTCTAATTTGTCTTAGGTTTCCAGGGAAACATGGCATGAATGAAGTACAGCTAAGAGAAAAGTGTTCTTGTCTTTTTTTCTAGGCATGTATATGTTTGCTTGCCTCTACTATATGTTGTTCCTAATTTTATGGATTTTACACACTAAAAGTTTAGCATACATTTATTAAATTCTTTTTTGCCAACTCAGGCATGTCATAGAGGATTTAGAATTGAATGTTTCTGCCCTTTCTGTATTTTAAAGACCTGTGCAGCTCTACTTGCTATCTTATAGGACAAGGGGCATAAAAAGTGAAGCTATCTGTGCTTCAGTAGTTACCAACTTCACTGTTTTCCCAGTGTTTAAGCCAGGTGCAGAATACATAATGTTATGTATTAGTCTCTTAGAGCTGTCATGACAAATACCACCAACTGGATGGTTTAAACAGTGGAAATTTATTTTCTCACAGTTCTGGAGACTAGAAGTCCAAGATCAAAGTGCTGGAAAATTGGATTTCTGGTGAGGGCTTTCTTCCTGGCTTGTGGACAGCTGTCTTATTGCCATGTCCTCACATGGTCTCTTTTCTACATGTGGGTGGAGAGAGTGCTCTCTGGTGTCTCTTCTCTTCCTATGAGGACACCAGTCCTAGTGGATTAGGGCTCTACCTTTACAAATCTTCCTGAAGGCCCTGTTTCTAAATACAGTCACACTAGAGGTTAGAGCTTCAGTCTCTGAATTTTGAGGAGATACAGTTCGGTCCATAACACATTATATCACATGAACACAGCTTCTAGGAATCCATATTTCTGACAGCAAAAAGAAAACACAATGACTTGGTAGGTACTTTTTTGTTCTTTTGTATCTTACTTCTGATGTGAGTATAATTATATGTATAGTAGATATTGGTAAATCTGCTTTGAGGAAAACAGTGTTTGAATTAATTTTCCCCAAAACTAAATATACACGTACTCAGAGGTAAAAATGCACTTCTGGAATACTTTGCTGTTTTGTATTTTCTCCATCAGTACTTCCTATGTTTTAACAACGTGACATGCTTACAAAATGATAGAGTATTTATAGCATACTGGGATACAGGAATAAGGTGCTCAGGTCTGGTGGCTGTCTGTGCTCTGCCCCAGATCTCACCTGCTTGCTGAGGAGGAAGAGAGGAGCTCTCTCAGCCTGTCACTAAGCACATACATGGCACACTGGTTTGGGAATCTCTACTGCTCTTCATTACTGTACATTATTTTAAAGACCAAATTATTTTTTGATCAGCAGTTGCATGTTTTTCTCCACAGATAATACAAATATTAACCAATTAGATGTAGAGCAGCTGTGTCTAATACTGTATTCTATGACCATGGAAATAGTCTCTATCTCTGATGTCCAGTATGATAGTTAAAAGCTCAGTGTGGCCGATGAGTGCTTCAAAAGTGGCTAGTGTGACTGATGGACTAAATTTCAAATTTAAATTTAGTTTTAATTAATTGAAATTTGAATAGCCCCCTTTGTAGGGTAAGGTAGGTGGAACAAGTGGAAAAAGCAGTGTGACTGGTGGCATTAGATAGCATAGATGCAGAGGATAGCCAGATGCTGATCAGTATCTAGGTTTATAAAGAAGAAAATGTAGAATGTAAGTGAGTTTTATCTCCAGTAGTGTCTCCTGAATTTTTTTTTTTTTTGCAGAAAAGATATAACCTACTCTAAAAATATCATTTTGTATGGGTAGTAATAATGGTTAACATTTCTTAGCAGTCACCAAGTGCCAGGTTCATTATCTCACTTAATCCCCTTACCAGACTTGTGAAGTAGGTCCTGCAGATCGGAGGTCTGTGGCTCACAGAAGTCAGCAGCGAGTCTCATGAGTGATACCTGTCACACTGTGACTCAAACACAAGTCTCTTATTTCAATTTTTTTTTTTTTTAAAGATTTTATTTATTTATTTGACAGAGATCACAAGTAGGCAGAGAGGCAGTCAGAGAGAGAGGAAGGGAAGCAGGCTTCCTGCTGAGCAGAGAGCCCGATGCGGGACTCGATCCCAGGACCCTGAGATCATGACCTGAGCCGAAGGCAGCGGCTTAACCCACTGAGCCACCCAGGCGCCCTCTTATTTCAAAATTTATTCTCCTGACTGTTGTACTGTATAACATAGCTTACCATAAATGATCAAGAAAGCTGTGTCCAGGATGCATTAGGAAGGAAGAAATTATCGGAGTAGGGGAATTGCTTTGAAGAAATAGCTATTTCATTTAAACTTATCCTAAAATGTTTCCTCTTTGTCTTCATAATTCTGAAAAATCAGCATTTCTTTAGGTAATTTACTTTGTTTTCCCTGAGGTTTGGTTACTTCTAACCAAGAAATATTGAGAGTGAAAGGATGGGCACTGAACAGGACCAAAGTTCTGCTTAAATTGATCTTCAGTTTCATTATTGTTACTATTATTATTTTGATAATGTTAATATCTTGAAAGATAAGGCACTCTGATTATAGCTCAGGGACCTGTGTCAGAATGGTTTCTGTTACAAGTAATAGAAAACCCTTACTTGGCTGTTTTAAATAGTTAGGAGATTATCTCACAAAACAGAAAATCCATGGACGAGCAGACCTCAGCCACAGTAACTATCAGTTTTGGGGCTCTGCTTTTCTTTGATTTTCTTCACTCCTTAATCCATGTGAAGTTACACTTTTAATTCTCATCCTGATAGCACAGTCCCTGTAGCAGTTCCAGATGTTATATCCAAACGGACATCCAGTGGATAAGGAGTTTAAAATAAAAAAAATTTATTGTAGAAATTCTCAAACTAGGCAAGACTATAATAACCTCTGTGTATGTATCACTCAGTTTCAACAATGATCAATTTAGAGCCACTGTTACTTAACTATATTCCATCCCCTGTCTCCTTGATGTGTTCTTAAGAACCAAAAAATGCTGTTCAGATGTCCTATTTAAAAAAAAAAAAAATGGCAGGGAGTTTTGGCCTCCTGTGATTTTCCCAGACTACCAGGACCCACCTTTTGGGGTTAATTATGGGGTCCAGCCTTCCTTAAAATACTCTGTAGGTAGGTGGGATCCTGAAAAGGGGGAAAGGCAGATAGGAGGAAGAGGCAATGAACAATACCTTCTCTGGAAATACTGTATAATTTATTTGGCTCATCTTTAATACTGCTTTTAAAAAAACCCAATTTGGTTGGTTGATTGGTTAGGTTGGAATTCTTGGGTGGGGTCACATGGGAGCTACCTTGTGACTTGGTTTTTTTAGGTGGTTTAAAAATGCAGCTTCACCTATTGGTGATAAATTTTAAGGAATTGATTCCTGTTGATCAAACTGACAAGAAACCAAGCTTATCTGTTTGTTAATGCATAGTTAATTAATATATTTGCAAGAGGTAAACTATAGTCTATGAAGAAGACATAGTAGGTACAGAGTCAAAAGAAAGAGAATTGTTATTTCCATTGTACAATGAAGTACTGTTAATATTATGTCCAAAAGGTGGTCTTTAAAAGAACTATTTCTCTTGCTTTTAGTGGCATTTATTTTCAACTGGCTTGGATTTTGTTTATCCTTCTGTATCACCAATACCATAGCTGGAAGGTATGGTGCCATCTGTGGATTTGGACTTTCGTTGATCAAATGGATTCTTATTGTTAGGGTGAGTGTTTTAATAACTTCTATCACTTCTATCTCTAAAATTAAAATTTATAAATTTAAAAATTTCTTGTGTGGTTCATAAATGTTTGTTTCACATATATGGATCAGTTATTTTGAGACTTATTCTTAACTTTTATACTTATTATTGTAGTGATCTCTGTGGTGTGAACATGTAACTTTATTACATGAGAGCTTGTTACTAGGTGGAAAGAGCTTTGAAGTAAAAAATTTGAGTTTGACTCTTATTTATATCAGTGTTTTAACTGTATGTTTTTAAGTTGTTGTGAGCATTTCTTCATAATAAGCTGGTAATACTGCCTGTTAGGATTTCTGTGTGGTCTAGAGGTAATACTGTTGAAGCACGTGTCCAGTTGCTGCACAAATGCAGGTGCTTGGTAAACCAGGGCTGTGACTCGTGTGATAGAACGCATGCATGCCTACTGTCCGTTAAAACAGAACATTTTCTTTTGGTTAGTGAAATTCTCAAGGATTTAATTATCTTTTTCCTTTTCATAACATTAAGAGCTCAGAAGTTAACTAAGACCTCCTAGGTAGCTCTCAGAAGTTTTTTTTCCCTTTTGATCCTTCTCCACCTTTCTTATTTCCCTGTTGTTCTGGAATTTACCCTCTGTCTGTTTCTTATCACTTACAAGACAGGATGTAGGGAGATAATGCTAAGTCCTTTTCTTTTTCTCTTCTCAGCACCTTGTCCCAAAATAGTTTTTCATAACCATTCCATGGTAGTATTATTATCATAGTCTTCCCCAGCTTTTTCCCTTTGTCTCTCAAAGGCCCTTTTTGGCTTCTTTTTATAAAGCCTTATCCCTGGTTTCTTTGGGATAAGGCCTAGGAGAATGATCAAGAGTGGTTTTGGGGCACCTAGGTGGCTCAGTAGGTTAAGCATCCAACTCTTGATCTCAGTTCAGGTCTTGATCTCAAGGTCATGAGTTCAAGCCCCACATTGGGCTCCATGCCCCGTGTTGGTCCCCACACCACAGAGATCACTACACTACACTACATGACATTGTCACTTAAAAAGAAAAAGTGGTTTTATTTATTGTTTTAATAAGTTTTCTTAAATGTAACCCACATATCTCAGTGCTATTGTACAATTGATAAAATGCTTAATTTCTACAAATCATATTTATTTAAACATTGATTTCTAACTGAATGAGTCACATCCTCCTAAAATTTTCGATAGAATCATATACTAAAATGTCAGCTTTACTTAAGTGCTGCAGGCCTTCAGTTATGCACCTAGATCATCACATTGATTTAAAAAAACTGTAGGCTTAATGTGTTTCTTCCATTGTTTTGAAGCCTACCATTTCCCAGAGTGTTAGTAATCTTACCAGACCTTGGCTCTGTTCAGACCAGATTATAGGTTTTGGTTATTAATCCAGTGATTCTTGGGTAGTACCTGTGACTTGCCTTCTTCTCAGATGATCAGAATCTGAGCCAGTGTAAGAACAGCCCCTGACAGATTCTTTTTCTAATTTCATTTTTAAAAATATGAGGTGGATTCTCACCGTGAGCATAAATCTGTTAAGGTGTTAGGGAGCACACAAAGATAAAGCACAATCCCTGCTCTTACAGAAGTGATTACTAGAAAAACCATCTAGTTGAAGCTAGATGTGTCTAGTGATTATTATTATGTCAGTAATAATATTACTACTAACTATAACTATATTATGTTAGTAATAATAACTATTATTCAAATGGATCTCTCATCGTAGTCACAGAACACAAAAATGATTTGAGGACTGCTTTCTCAACTCTCCTAAACTTAATAAGTTTGTGTATTCTGGAGTCATTAAAAAAAAAAAAAAAAGAAGTCCAGTCCGTAATATGCAACCTATGCTTTCAGGGTATTAGGGCCTAATTCTCTCATAGTACCCCTAGTTGAGAGGCAGTTGTTTATCTGGTAAGTAATGTGATGTGGTAAGATGGGAAACCTAAATTCAAAGACTGGGGATTCTCAGAGTTTTCTGAGGTATATATTAGCATCAAGTTTGGTCACCAGAACTGTTTCATTTCCCTTTAAAATACCACTACTGAAGGGCATGAGGCTAGCTCAGTCTGAAGAGCATGTGACTCTCTGTCTTGGTCTTGTGAGTTTGAGCCTCACGTTGTGTGTAGCGATTACAAATAAATAAATAAGCTTTGGGGGAAAAAAAACCCCCACAAAATGTGCTTTAAAAAAAAATACTGCTATTGGATTAAGGTTAATATGTCTTTGGTGTATACTGAGAACTGATACAAGAAAAAGATTTTTAAGAATCTTTTTTATCGAATAGTAATAGCCGCCTTTCATTGAATACGTGCTGCGTTTCGAGCGTAATTCATTACAAACGCCAGGTTCTTGACTCCTCCTTGCATCAGTGACACTCATGATAATCCAGCCGCTTTGTTGATGATAAAGCTGAGACTAAAAAAAGTTGAGTGAGTTGCTTGCTATCCCAGAGGTTGATGGATTTGAATCTAGTTTGGTCTCAATTCAGTGCCTGTTGTCCTAATTCTGTCCTGCCTCTGTGACCCTGCACTTTGACTGCTTTACAAGGCTGGAAGCGGTAAATGCTCTGTGGAGTGCTGAGAGAAAGGTTTTCTTCTCAAAGCCTGGTGTTTTGTTTTATTGGGCAATAAGTAATTTATAAATTTATAATTTATAAATCATAGCTTTTCTTTTTGTTTTTGAGTTCCCATGACACTCAGATTTAGTGTAAATATCTCTCACTGATTCTGGTATTATTTCTAAGGCTTTTGGTGTTTTTTATTGTTTGTTTAAAAATGAGTATGTGTTTTGTTAAAAACTAACAACCCTTTTTGAAAGTAGAATGTAAATAGTAAACTACTGGTGTTATATTAATAAAATAAAATTAGATAAATTCTTAGTGTCAGTTTGGAAAACTTTATTTTCCAAAGTTTGATTTTTGCATCCTGTGATTGGCCAATTAACATGATTTTTGCTCATTAAATAACCCCAACTTGGCTCAGCGCTCTGACTATAGGTATTTTAAAACATTTTTGCTCACTCAGTAATGAGCCCAGAAGCTTATTTAGGTTATCCATTTTACATAGTGAGTCTTTCTTTGACTTCAAGGTGAAAGTGATTTTATTTTTTCATTTGGGAGTAAATAAAGACTAGCTTTGGCAAATATTTTTGGTGAAGAATGATGTTCTTACTTTCCTGGTTGCCTCTTGCCAGGTACTATTATTTATTAAGCATTTTCTACAATATATTTAAAAATTAGAAAGTTAAAAATGTATTGCCTTGGTTCTTTATTTCTTTTCGTTCTTATAGACTCTAAAGCCTATATGAAAATCTTCTATTTTTAATTATTAGTCACTTGATTAAAATGTGTAGTGCAGTCCTACTTTACCAGCTATATTTCCCCAATTGTTTAGTTCTCCCTTGTACATATTTTAAAGATGTTGAAGTGTGTGGGATCTGCATCTATAATGGTACTTTAGAAATTTTAATTTTTGAAATTTCTAAAACCCTAAGCTGGTAATTTAGATTATGGTTCATTTATTAATTGTAAATACTTCCTGTAGAAATACTTAAAAGGTTTTAAAAAACAAATCATTAGTACATATGCTTCCTAAATAGTGTTGTTATTTACAATTTGTAAGTACTTTGGTTATTACAAACCTATAGGATTTTTAAACTTTTGTGGAAATTACCAATGAATAGTTGGAAGTAGTTACCAAAATAAAGTTTGAGGTACTTTTAATTTCAGATTTGAGGGCAAATCTCCATTTGACAAAGTTATTTTTAGTTAAATCGGATTCAGTTTGGAGGCCAATGAATGGAAACAGAGTAAATAAAACAAAGTAATTTATAGTAGTTTTAGACTAGGTTATATAAAACACTTTCAAAAAATAACTATTTGGAACATTGTTTAGGTGCTAAAGGGTAATAGGGAAGAATTAATTATCTGAAGTAACTGAAGAAAATTAGATTGGCTTAAAAAAATTTTTTTTAAATAATAAATCATGACATCCAGAGGCTAATCAAGGAAAAGATACCTATGTTCAGTATCATCAAACTCTGCCTTCCAGCTGCCTGTTTATATTCTCATTTCACAGAGAGTATAAAACTGTCTACCATGGTCACTAATAACTGTTGAAATGCCACTTCAAGGTTCATTTAGCTGTTCGCAGCTCACTGTTGGGAACTGAATACTGGAGCATCTAGTTTGAAAATAAAAAGACTAATGAGTTGGGGGTCTTTATGTGCCTAGTATTCTTGGCAGTGATTAACAGTAGGGGGTGTACAGAAGGTCAAAAGCTCTTCTTTTTAGAGGTCAGGCGAACATCCCCATCTGATAAGATTAAACTAATGTGGCTTTTGGTGTTAATATCTAAAGCAGCGGGTTGCTGTAGTGTGTTTGGGATGGTAGTTGTGGCTTTGAGAGATTATGAAAAAAGAATTGACATGTGAACTCTTTAATGAGAAAGTTGGATTCAGATATATAGATTTTACCTTTCTTACAATTTTGAAACTGGTTTTTGTTTCTAAAATATTTTGTATAAGTTTGTTATCATATATAAGATTTTAAAGTTTGTTTCCTCAAATAATTATGTATGTCATTAAGCATCTTTTTCCTCTTTGTGTTGTTTTAAGTGCAAGAGATGATTTGAAGTAAATTGTTCTGAAACTGAGGTTGATTTATGATTTTCAAATTTAGGTATATAAATATGGTTAATATATTTATGTTCACTCCATAGTTTTCTGATTATTTTACTGGATATTTCAATGGACAGTATTGGCTTTGGTGGATATTTCTTGTACTTGGTAAGTTTATTTCTAATGCATTTCAACTTTGAATTTGCATTTAGTTTAACTTTGATATTTCCCCAGATTGTAAGATGTAAATACATTGTGTTGAAACTTAACGTGGAAATAAATTTTTTTACTGTAAAATTCTCATATCCAGATACTTAATATCATCTCAGCTATTGGGATAATTAATTATACATTGCACTCTAGATTTCTGATTGAAAATCCAGAGTCTGTCAATTTAAAAAATCAGTAGTTGGATGATAATTGAATGTCGCAAAACTTGAAATCCTGAAATGATTTAAAAAATTGTCTTCAGCATTTATTTTAGAAAATATACACGCATAATTTCTTTGAACAATCCTAGGATATGTTGAGAGTAGGATAGTTGGATGTTCTATGCATTTTCTTACTTTTGGAGTATTGAAACATTCTTTATACTTTTGAAATGTACCCTGCATTAATCATTAATCAGCCAGGCATAAGGAAGGGCTTCATGCCCAATGATCACAGTACTTTTGTTGGGTTTTCTTTTTACAAGGCCTGTCTTTTTATTAATATTGATGAATTTTATGAATTTCCAATTTTTGTTCTAGTGATTTTCACTTTAGATGTATGATAAGTTAGTCTCAAAATCACGTAATGCCTTTAATCTACATTTCAGATTTATTTACTGACATGAAGAATATCCTCTCTACTGAGGTTTAAAAGCCCACATTTCTTTAGTAACATAATTGTACCAGAAAATATTGGCATTTCAGTAGGTGGCAGTGTTCTCATTGAGTTTTTGTTCATTCCTGGTGTTGGATCTTTAGGATCTTTAGGAAAGCAAATTCTTAGTGGTCAGTTAAGGTCAGTAAAGATCCTGTATTCTTTCTCTTAACAATTAATAGTGAAATTATTCTATGATTTTGTTAGGAAGCCAGACTCTTAAAAGGGTTTAGACAGTTTTTTGTGTTGTTAATTGTGTTCTTACTCCTGAATTTTGTGCCTGTTACTGAGTTTCTTACTTAAAAGTGAAAAACAAAAAGTCTTTTAAGTATTTAAACATATTAAATAAGTATATTTGCTTCTAAATATTGTAAGGATTGAATGTTAGGAGGACAACTATAGGCCCCAATGAAATGCAGAGGACCACCCCATTTCCACATCAGAACCACAGTCTAGCATTTAGGGAATTGTGAAAATTTAATCCGTGGTGAAAATGTTCCTCTCACATACACCCAGAAGAATGTTGAGTACATTGTAGAACACCGAGAAACAATAGCTGCTGAATGATTGGTTTCTAGATAGGAACTGGCTTATTTTAGAAAATGCCTGAGCAGGACAAAATAGTCTTAGAAACAGCAATTTTCATAGACAAAAGTAGGGATTTCACAAATAATTTTGGTTTATATTTTTCAATAATACTTTTACATTTGGATCACAATACCATTATCTTTGAACAGCATCTGGAAGAACATGAGCATGGAATTCAGAGTGGGAGTCACAAATGGAAGGAGTGAGGATATGGGAAGCAGATGGGCTCAGATTTAGCTAAAATTTATACCACTCGCTTAAGTCATTATTTGTGTATCTTCTATCCTTTCTCTTTATTATAACCATGCTTCTTTTTTTAGTGCTTTGGTTACTGTCTTGGAGTTGGGGTACAAATTTAGTTTGGGAGTTTGCATTTTAAATTGACAGACTCTTGATGAGGAAAGTTGCATGCATGTATATCTTAACGTTTTTCTGTTTTTGCTTTGCCCCCACCCATTATCTAGTTAAAAATTTACTGAAGTTGTTAAATGTTTCCCTTAGAATTCTGTGTTTAAAAAGTCTATCAAAGAATTTACTAATAATGCTAATGCTTTTTATACTTTGCTAATATTTTCCATCTGAAACTTTGAAGAATTTCACTGGCATTGTTTTATTAATTAACTACGGATACCTGTTATGTAAATGGTTGTTATTTAAAAAAATCCTGTTATAGGGAATACTAAGATAGAAGATCTGTCCCACATCGTTAAAGAAATCACTAGAGTGGTTGCTTCCCAATTCTTTCCTGATTCTTCTTATCTAAATTTGTATTACAAATTAGTCTTTTATTATTACTTGAAAATAAGAATTAACAATTAAATTTTTATTTAAATAACTTGTATCTTCAAATACAGATTTCATGGATGACAGGCACTTGATATTGGTAGACAGGCTTATTGGTTTTATCCCACAATTTTTAGCAAATTACTTGCATATATTCTTTCTTGAATAACTTATATCAGTAAATATGTGTTAGTTTGCTTAGTCATTATATTAATTGAAAAGTTTCATATAAAAATGGATTTCCCTGAGTTAAATCAGCTTAAATGCATTAGGTATCTTTGCCATTTTAAGAAATCATGGAATAAATGTATATTTTTGTGTAATTCTGGATTTTCATGGCTGACTTTGGTTTACTTTAATTTTTATTTAAATTTAGATACATCTGGACTTAACAAATTGAAAGAATTTGGGAAGGCAGTAAACTTGTATTATATTTTTTCGTGATTTTATCATTATAGTGTAAAATATCATGGAATGAATAGAATTTTACAGATTAAATTCCTTAAGCCAAGAGGATCTTGTTTATAAGTGTCTATTTTAAATTGATGCCCTCTCTGAATAAGAACATAATGCAGCTGTATTATTTTAACGGTTTCAGGCCTGCTGCTTTTCTTCAGAGGATTTGTTAATTATCTAAAAGTCAGAAACATGTCTGAAAGTATGGCAGCTGCTCATAGAACAAGATATTTCTTCTTATTATAGAGGTAAGAAATATATATTAAATCCATTCCCTTCAGATATTCATTTTCACCAGATGAATATTATGTGTACTTTTGTTGGTTACTTAAGCTTAGCATATTTAATATGTCGTTATATTGTTAACAATCAACTAATTAAGATTTAGTAAGTTGTGAACTTTTTAAGATTTTTAAAAATTGAATTTCATAAATTTTAATTTTTAAAATATATGATGAATAAAAAACTTTAGGTCAGACTTTCTAAACTTATTTTTTAAGGATTAACCACAGGATATAAGTAACTATTAGCACACAATATAAAGGATAAAAAAACAAAATACAACAAAGCACTTACACAGAAGGGATGGGGATTTTGTATAAAACAATGAGAAATCCAGACGTGGTTTAAAAAAAAAAAATTGTGGTTGAAAAGAAATTTTCCATGCACTGATCTTAAAAAAAACTGGATCAAAGAATAAAAGTTGTGTGAAGAAAGTAGGAGCTCTGATAGTTTCCTTAATGTCTGTCAGTTTGTATCAACAACGAAGGCTTCAACTTGAATAAATGGGAATAAAGAAATGAGCAGAGTTGTCTTACTAGTTATCCAGTGAATTTCTGGAGGCTGCATTCAGCTTGTTAGTAGTTTCTGCACATGAGGAGACCTCATATCTCTATTTTCTATAATAGACTATTTTTGTTATTGAAATACACTTAACATACAGTATATTAGCTTAGTACACAGTATATGTGTACAACATAGTGATTTGACATTTGTGTATTTTGTGAACTGCTCACCGCAATAAGCCTAGTTACCATTTGTCACCATACAGAGTTAATACAAATACGGTATTACTGACTATATTCCCCATGCTGTAATTTATGTCCCCATGACTTACTTGTTTTGTAACTAGAAATTTGTAGCTCTTGATCCCCTTCACTTATTTTGCCCCCCATCCCCAAACTCCTTCCCGTTTGATAGCTACCACTCTGTTCTTAGTATCTATGAGTATAGGTGTTGTTTTATGTTATTATTGTTTTGTTGTGCTTGTTGTTAATTGAACTTGTAAGTGAAATCATGCAATATTTGTCTTTCTCTGACTTCTTTCACTTAGCATAATATCCTCAAGGTCCATCATATTGTCACAAATGGCAAGATCTTTTTTATGGTTGGGTAGTATTCCATCCTGTATATGTATTCCATATATATGAGTAGTATTACATCATACATAGATCATATATATGAGATACATATATAGATAGATATATCTATCTATCTATCTATATATATAGAACGTACACATATCCTATATCTTTATCCATTCATCTATTGATGGGCACTTAGGTTGTTTTCCATATGTTGACTTTTGTAAATAATGTTGCAGTTAACAGGAGTGCATCTATCTTTTTGAATTAGTATTTTCGTTTTCTTCAGAAAACGAGCTATCTAGCTAGAAGTAGAGTTGTTGGATCATAGGATAGTTCTATTTTTAATATTTTGAGGAAACCCCATACTGTTTTCTAGAGTGGTTGCCTCAATTTACTTTCCCAGCAACACTTTACAAGGTTTCCCATTTCCTCATGTCCTCACCAACATTTGTTTCTTATCTTTTTATTATAGGTGAATATTCTGACAGGAGTGGTGTGATAATCTCATTGTTTTTCATGTGCATTTCCCTCATGTTTAGAGATATTGAACTTCTTTTTATGTGCTTGATGGCCATCTGTATGACTTTGGAATACGGTCTATTCAGATCCTCTGTTCATTTTTTTTTTTTTTTAAAGATTTTATTTATTTATTTGGCAGAGATCACAAGCAGGCAGAGAGGCAGGCTTACCCACCCCCCCCCCCAACCACCCGAGCAGAGAGCCTGATGTGGGGCTCAATCCCAGGACCCGGGGATCATGACCTGACCCGAAGGCAGAGGCTTTAACCCACTGAGCTACCCAGGCACCCCCTCTGTTCATTTTTTAATTGGATTGTTTGGTTTTTTAGTTATTGAGTTGTATGGGTTCTTTTTAACTATTTTGGATATTAACTCCTTACTGGATATATGACTTAGAAATATCTCCTCCCTCTATACTATTTTTATTTTTTATTTTATTTTATTTATTTTTATTATTATTATTATTTTTTTTTTTTTACTATTTTTAAAGCAAGTGCCATATACTTCCTGTCTATAAGTGACTTGAACTTTTAAAGTATTTGAAATGCATAAGCAAAGTGTCTGCTAAAACATTTAACTTCTAGATGTATCTACAAGTACAAAATGTTTCAGACTTACTATAACTGTTCTTTTGGTAAATAAATTGTATGGTTTGGGATTTGATTGCTTAAACTTTATAACATAGGAGTTTTACATAATCTAATATAATTTAGTTATTTCTGCTGAAGAGTACAGTTGTATTTCTGGAAAATTAAAGTATCCTTTTAAATGTTCTTTTACCTCTACGTAGAAGGTGTCACATTTTCTTTTTAATTACTAAAATGTCTTTGTAAGCAGTAACAGTAAGAGTGCATCAATATGTAAGATAAAAGGCAAAGTAATTTTCTCTTGGTATTTGGTGTAATTATCTTATTTGCATTTTCAGGAGCCCTAAAACTTAATGTAAATATTTTCTAGATGTTTTCCTTTAGAAGCTTAAACTTTGGAATATGTTCTGATATATTCTGTTTTATATTATCTTTACCAAAAGAACATTAGATACTTGATGTAATACTGTTATAAAATGTTTTTTATTATATTATCATGTAGACAATTGCAACTTAATATACTATAAGACTAATTCTCTCTTTGTCCCTAGACTGCATCGACCAGACATTCTTTTCTTAAACCAATGTGAAATTTCCAGATCATCTGTAAACCTACAACTTTAATAGGATAGAAGACTACTAAAAGCAGAAGACAAATTAGTGAAGAAAAGATAGATCTTCAAAATTGAATGGCAGGATGGTTTATGCTTAAAAGCCATTTCTGTTCATTCTCTTAAATACTTAAATTTCATTTGTTTTGCACATTTGCATATGTGCCCATGTAAAAGATTTGCATATACTTGAAAGAAACTATAAAGTTGTAGCAGTAAAGTCCAGTCATATTTGGTTAATCAGTGTTTGATATAATTGAAAGGGGTGAGTGAGAAACAGTCTTCCAGCATGTAAATGCCATTGACTTCTGACCTGACATTTAGTATAATAAAAATGAAGTTATTAACCATGTCAAATGCTTTAGTTTCTGGCTCCTAGATTCATCTAGTAACTCTACACATGAAACGCCCTTTGGTATATATAGTTTTTTGAAAACTGCAGTGCTGATTATAGAAAAGCTTTGTCAGATTTTTGAACATGATATTTACATTGTTATTTAGCAAACTCTTTCTGTAAATAACCATGCATAAATTACTTTCTGCATTGTTTTCTTAGAAACTGTGTCTGGATATCTTTTCAATTAATTTAAAATTAAGTGAACTTAATATATAGAGAAAATCTGGATGTTAAAGATAGTTTGTTTTAGGACAGATTTTAAGAAGATATGGGTATTCCACATGTCCTTTAGGAGAACATCTTTTTGTTGTTTTCTTTTTAAGGGACATGCCAGGTTTAGGGATTCTCAGTTGAGAAGCTTGGTTTTTAAGATTGCCATCTTAGAGAGTCTTGCAGGAAGAGATTGTATTAGATATTATATTTATTTCATTTAAGACACTTTTGAAAATTAATTTTCTGAATAAGATATTCTCATTTGCATTTGTCTTTTAAAAAGCCAATAAAAGTATCTTTCAATTTTAATTGTAATAATTTTTTCTTTAGATGTTTAGTTTGTTAAATGAAACAAATCAGAACTTGTACTAATAGCTTCTTGCTTTATGATTGTAGAATTAACATAAAATCATATCTTGAATTAAGATATGCAAAATAATCTGTTTTCAAGTTACAGAAATGTGTCTGTGGAATATGGGAGTGTGGTGTGTGTGTGTGCGTGTGGTAAGAGTATGCGTGTATGTGACCATTACTACAACTGGAATCTACATTCACAAGCTACTACATTTTGCAAATCATTTTATGTCTCATCTGTTTTCTTTTCAGTTCTATTTTTGTTTTTAAATGCCAACATTAAAAATGATGGGAATTACATCATCTTTTAAACTTAAAAATCATTTAATACAGCTACAGAGAACATATAAAATTGGTTGTTTGTTTATAATTAGATACTGACTACTACTAAAAGATACATCTAAAACTATTCAGGGACATTTTTCCATTTCTGAAAAAATAAATTATGCTTTATAACTTCTTTTGTATTTCTCTGTATTTTCTGATTTATTTCATTGTCTTTGATAAATAAAACATGCAGTTTTGTTTTGCTAATTGAGCCTCCTATTTTTTGTTTTCTCTCATTCTCCTTCCTTACATAGAATTTTTGTTGTTTATTGAAGTACCTCTGTACCCCTTGAAGTCAAACTAGCATGGGGGTAAAGAAAAAATATTTAGTTGCCTGATTTGGAAGTTAAAATTAGAATGTACTTATAAGAAATGGAATCTCATGCTAGATTTCTTCTCTGTCTCATATTAACTTTCTGTCGACCTATACTTCATTTTTGTGATAACTTTTAAGTGAAATTAAGCTATCATATATGGTAATTGTAGATTACTAGATGAGCTATCACATCACTTTACAAAATTTATTATTTTAGTTTTTGTGGTGTGTATCCTTGTTTCTGAATATGGATGTGTCACTTTTGATCCAATATCAAAAACTTCACGTTTTGTTTTGATTTTTCTCCCCCGTTAAATCAAGTGTGCATGTTACCTGATCTCCTATAATTGGTACAATTCAGTGGTAGCCTTAAATCTCATCATCCAGTCAGGGGCATAGAATATTATTTTTAAAACTTTAACGTTTTCTTCCAGATCTATCAAATTCTACATACTTCCTTCATTTCCTGTGAGCTTGGATAAAAAAAAGAGCTGCTATTGTGTTTTGGGGATGCTTAACTGTCTTTGCACTCTGTCTTAAAGTTTGCAAATCAGAATCTTTGATAGGGTGTCTAAATAATTTTTGAAAGAATATGACCTGGGGCTTGGAAGTTAATGCAGATATTTATTAAATTATTTTTATTACATTTGAACAAGCTAGTTAGGACTAGGAGAATCCATTTTTATGTATTATATGAAATCAACTGAACTTAAGGTAAAAATACATTTTTCTGTATAGTGTGTTCAGGCTTGAAATTAGAAATTTAAAATTAAAAGGCAAATCTTAATTATACTCGGTTAAAATAAAAATTTCTCTTTAATAGAAAAAATACTAATCTCTAGCCTTTTGAGTCTGTAAGTTATCTCCCATGCCTTTGAGGTGGTTCAGAAATTTTAACCTGTTAAGACAATAATCACTAATACTCGAGCAGAACCACCCACAACAGGAAAAGTGAAATCCAAAAAGCCCAGCTGGAGAAAAAAATTAGGGTTTTTTAATTTAACATTTTTCTTTTCAACTGGTCTGTAGTCCCCCAAAGCACAAAAGTAACGAGAGTGCATCTGATCCTGTATTTAACTGGAATGACGTATGTCCTCAGTTTGTCCTCAGCCCTGATTATTTCTGTTTTCTCAGCTTAAATAGTGCCTCCTCTCTCGAAAGTGTCCTAACTTAGAGAATAAATTACATGATCACCCTATGTATAACTCTGTTACTGAGAAGTGACTGCCTAAACCCACTGCCCTTTGAGAAAAGGAACTGGAGTATTAGGTCAGAAGCTAATTACTGTCACAGCCTTTCCTAGCCAACCCATTTGTCTAGCCTGTAGAATATGCATAGTTTTTTGTTTGTTTTTTTAAATAGAAGTTGTATTGGAATGATTTCCAGCTTATGGTAAACAGTAAACGATGAGCTTTTATATTTTAAAACTGCTGTTAAATGTTATTTTAATTGTTTACTCTCAAGTAGTCATATGAAATGTTAGTGTATTATTTTTAAAATCTCCTTCTTGATAAAGTTCAACTCTTAGATGATAATGTGCCAATTACTATTACAGGAATGTCCTTGCCCGTATATAAAACGTGCTGACATGTGTTTTGCTTATTAATAAAGTTCTATAGATGTGGAAATGTGAAACTGTGCATCCTTTTGAAAATCAGTGTTAGATTCACAACATATCGCCATCCGAGCCTCACAAAATGTTTAAATGGTAGATCTCATTTGAGATGAAAACAACTGGCATGGAATTAAGTTAGAGTATGGAACAATATTAAACTTGCCTCAGTAATCTGAACGTTAGGAGATGGTTCGAGTTTAATACATGCCAAAAAATCAGCCTTGTGGAAATTTATGTTCATTGCTACTTTGCAGAATATCAGTGGTAATATGGGCTTGTATTTTCATTTGGGACATAAGACCTACAATGCAAAAACTTCAAATTATTTAGAAGACAATCAAAAAGCTTATTCCATACTTGATAAAGTTTTTAAAAAATGTTTATTTTGAACTCAGCATGCTTGGTTGTTTTAACCTTTCTTTGTTTTTTTCCCCCAAACTTTATTTATTTGTCAGAGAGAGCAGCAGGCAGAGGGAAAAGCCGGCTCCTGGAGCCCGATGGCAGGACTCCTCCCAGGACCCTGGGATCATGACCTGAACCGAAGGCCGATGCTTAACTGACGGAGCCACCCACGACACCCTTAACTTTTCTTTCTTGATATTTTCAGCTTAGCTTTCATTCTTCTATTTTTGTTTTGAGAGATTGAGCTTTTAAAACCCACTTGATTTTCATGAAAACCATAAAAAAAAAAAAATCCAGTAGCTAAATACAGTATTACTTTTTTTTAAAAGGTTATTTCAGAGAGAGAGTTGGGGAGGGCCAGAGGAGAGGGGGAGAGAATGTCAAGCAGACTCCTGACTGAGTGCAGAGCCCAGTGCCGGGCCCGATCTCACCACCCTGAGAACACGACTTGAGCTGAAACTAAGAGTCGGACGCTCAATGGACTGAGTCACCCAGGCTCCCCTAGAGTATTCCTTTTGTGGCAGTTGAGGTTATGGAAGGCCAAAATCATACACTTCTGGTTCTCAGAAACTTAGAGGTGGCTTCTCTATCTCTCACTCTTGGAAGAAGAGTCACCGTATTACTTTCCCGCTCCCATTTGTGTTTGTTTTACTTAGGTCAACATTTTACCTTCAGTGACACAAGAAGGGATATAGGTTATCCTTAACAGCATAATAACTTCTTTTAGCTTTACCAGAAACATAGCAAAATTAGCAAGTAAAACAACAGTTTAACCAAAGCTCAGATGAAATCTGGAGGAACCTCAGGAGGAGGTTCCTGAGGAGGAACCTCAGCACACAGATTATGAAAAGTAGCAGATAACCTTGTTGGAAAGTATGAGCTCTTCAGAGATTCAAGAACAGTACTTGTACGTAAATCCCTAGTGTGGAAATAAATTTATCATTCCTTTCCCATCAAACTTAGTTTCTCAGCCATCTGAATTCCTGTATGTTGGTGATTTGGTTTGCTTAGGCAATTGATGGGATTTGGGCTCTAAAATTTTTAATTTTCATCTTATTCAGAGATAAGACCTCAAGACTTTTTTTTTTTTAATTAAGTAGGCTCCACGCCCAATTTGAGGCTTGAACTCCTGACCCTGAGATTAAGAGTCGCATGCTCTATCAACTGAACCAGCCAGACACCCCAAGACTTAAAAACCCTTAATTGCTAGTAAGCATTGGTGATGGAGTAAGTGTGAAGTATCACTTCCTAAATCCAGATTTTAAGATGACCAGCAGACTATGGAAAACAGCATCAGTTCATTGAGAGTTAAAGACTTTTAAAAGATAAGGGAGTCTTAACATTTCCTTAATCCAGTGGGATCTCCAGGGATGAATTTTTTTTTTTTTTTTACTTTTATTATTTTTATTTGTTTTAGAGAGGGAGGGGAGGGGCAGAGGCAGAGGGAGAGAGAGAATCCCAAGCAGGCTCTATCTATGCCCAGCATGGAGCCCTTAGGGCTCAGTCCCACAATCCTGAGATCAGGACCCCAGCCAAAATCAAGTCAAAATCAAGAGTCGGACACATAACTGAGCCACTCAGGGGCCCCTCCAGGGATGAACTCTTGATTGAAGGATTCTTAGGACCTCTTCTTTAGAGCTGGGATTGTTATTCAAAATGGTGCATTATAATCAACTGGAAGTTTGAGGGAAATTAACATTCTAGCCTCTATTACCAGAGGATCCAGTG